AATGTTTCATTGTTCACATATTTGTTCAAAAACAGCGAAGGTCAGCGAAGCATTGAAGCTCGCAACATATTGTAATAAGGCTTGAATATTCATGACTTAGATAAACACAAAGAAGTTAGGATACTTACGTTTATTTAAACAATTCTCCTCAAAGTGTTTTTCGCAGATATGTATATTCCCAGCGCTTATTTGACGCCGCAAATCTTTATCGATCTCTCGATTTCGGGTTATAATTCGCACCCACTCTTCGCGTGTTTTAGTCGATAAATCGTCTTTGCCTTTCGGAATAGAAAATATACTTATACCAGAATGTCTTCTGTTCGAACCACAGCCGAATATACTACAATTTGCTCCTACCATCGCATATAGCGCCGGAAAATGCGAAAAAACCAAGGTGGTCCTTAATAAACTCTATTAATGAATGCGCCATTGTGCACTCGGATTTCAATTACGACGAGACAATAACATATGTGATCACGTGACCCGGCCTTCCTAACCATGTTTATTATTTCTATTAACTATGGTGTAACACCTCTTGCAATGCATTATCAAAATCTTGTTTTAAACATTGCGAGACAGGTTGCATGGAAAATTGCACCGTGTAACAGGGCCTTAATGAAACAGGTCATTTTCTGAGCACTCCAAACAATAGTAGCTAATAAAAATTAAGAAACTATGGGTCATTCCACGGCTTATTTCTCCGACAATATATGTATAATGTGACCCGCAGGGCTACCTCCACATATTTAGCTATTTATTATGCGATTGTCACTAAGGTTAATGTCACTAATATTCTTAGACACAAAGTCAAGTGTGGTCACGACTCACTTCTAGAGTAATAACCTGGAATGACTCACAGTTAGTAACACTATTAATAATGGATGAATATAATGCACAAGAGCCAAGGACTGTTAATACTATTAACAATAGTATTATACAGGGTGTCCCAAAAAAACCGGAAACTATTGAAATCACCAATAACAATTTAATTGTTAGAATTTGAATGCCTTAGCGCTCTGTTGGTTTCCACGAGTGCCTAAATGATTGACAGAAGTAAATTTTATGCATAAAGAAACTGTTTAAGAAGCTGTTTTTAATTCCCAGGAGCAGAAAATCGCGCACTTTACTAGGAGATATTCCTAACTAAATTCTAATACATGCACCTTGTCAATATTTTACGCATCATTACGTCCAGCTGTTTGGTAGGGCATTCAAATTTAACAATAAGTGATTTCTATAGTTTCCGGGTTTTTTGGGACACCCTGTACAGGGTGACCCAAAAAAACCCGAAAAACTATTGAAATAACGTATTGTTAAAATTTGAATGCCCTAGCACTAAGCCGAACGCAAAATGCCAAAGATGCGTAAAGTATTAACAAGGGTGCAGATATTAAATATTGACTTATTAAGAAATTAAAATATCTTTGTAAAGCACACGATTTTCTGCTCTTGGTAATTTAAAACAGCTTCTTAAACGGGGTTTTTATGCATAAAATTTACTTATGTCAAGCTTTGATCACGTGTGGGTTCAGCAGAGTGCTGAGGCATTCAAATTCTAACAATAGGCCTACATTTATTTCAATAATGTTCTTTTTTGGGGGACACCCTGTATACAGGGTGTATAAAAAAAAGCGCAACCTCGGAATTTCCCAAGAAATCGACATTGTTTTAAAGACAAAAGATTTTAGGCGCCTAGGAATTTAAAATAGCACAACTGTCAAAATTACTGCACACGCGAGTAATATGATCAATTAGCAATTCGATTTCAATTTCTAGGGGCCTAAAATATTTTATGCTTAAGAATTGCAAAGTGTTTCTTAGGAAATTCCGAGGTTGCGTGTTTTTTTATACACCCTGTATACCATAACACTATTAATAATGGAGCGCATAACACTATTATATATCCTGTCTGTCTGTATAATGTTTTTTTTACAAAAACTGTCAAAAGCTACATATCTTGTAAGCAGGTGAACTTATTAATGATCTTATGACACTATACAAGGCTATACAACACTATCCAATGTTATACAAGACTATACAACACTATATATACGAGACTATACGACACTATTTAACAATTAGTCGCCGAAGGCGAGGTGATTACAAGCCTATATTCACTGAGCCGAAGGCGAAGTGAATATAGGCTTGTAATCACCGAGCCTGAGGCGACTAATTGTTTTAGTATAAATTTCCAGGTGTTTACAAACAATAATCCACACAACTTTATAAAAATTCACTTCAAATAAATTTATTTTCACTGTAAATAGTTTGTTTACAAAATTTAAATCTCAGACACGGCTCTGTGTCGCGTTGCGACTAAGCCAGTTTTTTTTCCAAATAAAAGCACGTAAAGTTTAATATTTTACCTTGAAATATTTTTAAATCATATTTTGTAGCTTGTTTGGGTTTTTCGGAATGCTATCTTCTTTAATTTTGGCAGTTCCCTCCTCTGTTACTACGGCAAAAGAGCAGCCATTTTGAAAAAAAAGATACTAAACAGCGTTATGCAAGACAATACGACACTATACAAGAGTATACAACACTTACGACACTACACAATAATATACAAGGCTATACGACGCTATACAACACTATATAACGTTATACAAGACTGTATAACAACATATAAAGGCTATACGACACTATACAACGTTATACAAAACTGTACAACAATATATTAGGTTATACGACACTATACAACACTATACAACGTTATACAAGACTATCAAAATTAAGATAGTCTTGTATAACGTTGTATAGTGTTGTATAGTGTCGTATAACCTAATATATTGTTGTATAGTTTTGTATAACGTTGTATAGTGTCGTATAGCCTTTATATGTTGTTATACAGTCTTGTATAACGTTATATAGTGTTGTATAGCGTCGTATAGCCTTGTACACTAGACAAGAGTGCACATGACAGACTATACAACACTACACAGCCTTATGCAACACTATACGACACTGTATAAGGCTATTAAGACACTATACAAGAGTGTACATGACAGACTATACAACACTACACAGCCTTATGCAACACTATACGACACTGTATAAGGCTATACGATACTATACAATGTTAATTATACAAGACTATTCGACATTGTATAAGACTATACAACACTATACAACACTACACAATAATACACAAGGCTATGCAACACTATACAACGTTTTACCAAAAAAATACAACATTATATATAAGGCTATGCGACACTATACAACGTTATACAAGACTATACAACACGTATAAGGCTATATGACACTAAACGACACTATGCAACATTATACAACAGTATACAAGACTATACAACACTATAATTATTATAAGGCTATACGGCACGATATACACCATACAACGTTATACAAGACTATACAACAATATATAAGGCTATACGACACTGTACGACACTATACAACGTTATACAAGACTATATGACACTATGCAAGACTATACAACACTATACTACACTATAGACGACTATTATACAAGACTATAGAGACTAAACAACACTATACAGCATTATACAAGACTATATGACACTATACAACACTATATGTCATTTCGATGTTTTCCTTCGTGGTTGAGTTAATAGATATATACCCTGTGCCTGTGAGCAGAGCCTTAATATCATGTCTTCAATCATTTCCACGTTTTTCTTCGTAAATCATAACAACATTTGCCAACATTGAACATGCCTGCATCATTCTGTCATGATATTTAAACGTTCAATATAAACTTATTACTCATAAGTAAACATTGTCAACAGCTTATACTAATAATTGGCTAAAACGTACCTGCAAAAAAGAATTTTCTAACGAAATTATTGTCTATTTGTGAAGAAATTATCGTTTTTTATATTTTTCATCATGGCGGAAAGTACAGAACGAGAGCTTTGCGGCGACTTACGAGGAATTACCGACTGACAGAACCCCAAATTTCTTCTATATTTTGAATCAAGCTGCATCGTTATAACTCGGTCAAGGAAACTGGCACGAGTCATAACGTCAAAATCAGTTGTCAAGAATAGTGTGCTGCCTACGGCAGCAAATATTTAATATATGTAAAATAACATGATATTGCTTATCATGTAACAATAGACACAATCAAGAAGTGATTGTACCCATGGTGACGAACCTAGTCCAAAATAATTGGTCATGTAACTATTTTGAGCGCCGAGGGCTCTAGCCATCTATAGAGATCCGGGGGCTTGCTTCCCCTGAAAAAAGTATATCTGCATTGCTTTCAAAAAGTATATGCTCTATAAGACATTTAAGCGAGTAGTATGATTTTCGTAGCCGAATTTGAGATTTTAACGATCAAACATGAGGAATATGCTCATATTTATGCCAATAGCTACTATTTTGCCAACTTCAAAATTCTTTAACTCAAAACCAGCTTGAAAATTTTGCATTTTTAGTCCAACATAGTAATTTACTGGCCAAAATTTTAAATTCCCAAATTTTCGGCTATCAAGCGAATCTCGTACTTAGAGCGATATGGCTCTGGGTACGAGATTCCTATCAAGCCAAAATAACAGGTTCCAACATATATAATCTTGTTCACCAATGTTAAGGCTATAAGAAAATGCCAGTTGGCAGCTCGTAACAAGAAAAATTGCTACCATCCAGAGTGTGACTTTCAGAGAGTTGGCCGGTCGTCTAATATACATCCTGATGAAGAGCAAAGAAAACCGACTCGACTATGAAATAATTTCTTTTATAAACTCGTCTATAATTTAACTATGACAAAAAATTCAATTATTTCATTTTCTAGTATTGTTACAAAGCACCTCTTGCAAGGGTAAAACATGAATGATTTGCACTGGCTAAAAAAGTGGGCAAATTACATCATGCATGTTCTCTAACGAAAATTTTGATGTTAATTATTTATAATAAGTCACTTAATCGTGTTTTTTTTATAACTTGTATTTACTATAGATATATTGCAGTGTCACTATAGATATATTGCTACTACGACTTGTTATTTTGTTCTTGTTTCAAGATTTTTTGCTCTGTAGCTCGAGAGATGATTCGCAAACTTTCTTTAGACTTCGTATAAATTCCAGATGGTCATAACTCTCGCTTGTAGCTCCGCTGTCCTGTCCAAAAAGCCCTATCCTGATATCAAGTGCCTGTTGACATGACTCCAGAGCAGAATCATAATCTTGCATTTCACACTGACATTCTGCAATGCAATAGTAGCTTGTAGCGACGGCTGGATGTTCCTTTCCATACAGCGCCACCCTAATATTCAGGGCTTGCTGATGCCAATGCATAGCTGAATCGTATTCTTTCAAGCGATACTTTGTCACTCCAACATGGCTACAAGCGATGGAAATGTCTGGGTGGATTTTCCCATAAAGATTTTTTCTGACATCAAGTACTTGTTCCAGCGATTGTAGTGCTGACTTGTAATCTTTTTTCTCAAATTGGGCTCTTCCAATCTGGAAATAGCTGCTGGCGGTATCTGCATGGTTGAGCCCATACAGCTTCAGTCTAATATCTAGTGCTTGGTAATGATATGTTAAAGCAGCGTAATAATTCTTCTGTGAGCCTAAAATTAATCCAACGTTATGGTACCTTGCGGCTGTATCCGGGTTTAGCCGACCATATTCTCCTATAAAATTATTAAGATCGAGCTGCATCGCTGCTGGACTCTCTTGCTCTATTTTTATCTTTGCCAGGGTGTTTTCAACGATGAAGAGTAGTGGTAAGTATAGACGGTCGTTCCGTGCCTCGGCTTCGACTTCTTTCAGTAACTTGGAGACGGGGCAGACCAAGTTTAAACATTACCTCCTTCATGTCATAACATTCCACAATGTCGTTGATGAGAAGAGCAAACGGTAAAATCAGTGGTTGAGATAAAGCTTTTGGGTTTTCATCCCCACTCTCGTTAGCGCAATCATTTTCTTGTATAGCTTGGAAGAAAGCATACAAGGATGGTCTGTTAGCGCATTCAGTTAAAACAATGTTCCGGTAGTAGGAAGACTTTTGTTCGTGACGAGTAATCAAAGCAAGAATGTGGGAGCATAAAACCTTAAGTACAGTATTTTCAGAACTCAACAGAGATACCCCTGTTTCAATCATTTTGCTTCCTTTCGCTGTCGCTCTATGACTTAGCAACTGAATACCGTGGTAACACATTCGTTTTCTCATGGCAACTTCTGAAGGAAGGAGAGGATTTTGCTTCTCGATTTCTTCGGCCTCTTTTAGTAATGCCAATGTAGCTCCATAATCCCAGGTTATCTGAGCAAATGCTTTAGCAATTAGCAGTTGGTGGACACCTTTAAATTTACGCTGCTCTTTTGCCTTCGCTATTGCTAATTTATAAATTTCTTGAAAAATCCGCTCATGTTGAAAGTAGAAAATAGTGTCCAGAAACAGATCCGCATCGGAAAGAACATCGAAAATTGCGTAGCAGACAGTCTCGTTTTGAAGACCTTCGGAGAGGCTATGCACCATATTTTCTCTGCTATATTCGAAATCGTGAAATGCGAGCAGAGAATTTCCAGCGAGGAACTGGTTGTTTAAATCTTCAAACAACTTGACGTAATAACTCAGGAATCGCCTTTCTGCTTCGCGAGCAACCTCTCTCATGTCATCAGCTGCTTTTTCGGAACCAAATGACCTGATCAGAGGGTGAAAAGAAAGCAGGCCTGCTTCGGAGGAAACTTCAACCAACGATTTTCTCTTGAGCCTCAACAAAGTTTTCTTTGCTGCGTCTTCATCTCCTCCGATGACGTTTACTGCAGCTTGCTCGTCGAACACTTCACTGACAAAAACTGAAAGACAAACAAATCCTTCTTGCTCTTCTCGAGATATTCTTTTGAAATAAGACTCGAACAAAACCTTTAAACGTTGATCATTAGGCGCATCTGGATCGTCTAACAAGTCTGGTACCGTTTTTGAAGAACGGCTAAAGTTGTCAAGGAATTGAAATATACTCTTCTTCTCGTCAACGATTTGACCGCACAAAAGCTTGATGGCCAGCGGAACGTCTCCACACACTTTAGCCACTCTGCAGCATTCACTTTCATCAGCAGCAGCGACAAGTTCTTGAACAAGCATTTGTGACGATTTTCTCTCTAGCGAAGCAACATCAACAGACATGTGATCGTCAAATTTTCTTCCAAGCACCGATTGAAGACTCATCCTTGTGGTCAATAGAAAGGAGACATTCTTGCAACAAGAAAATATCTTTTCCAGTAGATCTAAACAATCTTGGCTCGTTTCACCACTACTCTCAAAAAGGTTATCGGCGTTATCTAGGATGATACAAATATTGGAAGGAATTACACTGAGGAGTGTGCATAGTTTTGAACGCTCTCGCCCCGTTAGATCAGACGACGTATGTGCAAAGGTGTTTAAGAGTTCAGAGATCAGCTTTTCCGCTGTCTTGACGCTTCTCAAGGAAAGGAAATAAACTGGTAGACCTAGCTGTCTAAGTTGGTGTCCTACTGCAATAGCCAATGAAGTCTTGCCAAAACCAGGGGGTCCAGATACAGAGACTACCTGTGCAGATGTGGATGTCAACACACGCATGATTTCTTCACATTCTTGTTGTCGACCAATGAAATGGGGCACCATGGTAGGAAGGCAGGGCTTAGGCACGGACTTGTCAAACACTGTGGTCAAATATAGAAAATACGGTTAAAATGTTGCCATTACCTGCTGGACTAATGGCGAAAGAGCAAAAAGCAGTGAAGAACTAGCTTGTTTTTGGTCGTTACAAAAAAGGTGCTTGTACACCAAGAGATAAATCAGGAGAAAAATCACTCACTATATTGTATATATACACGAACTTGTGATTTGAGTTCAACAACTGAACTCTGTAAGACAGTTGGTTAGAGCGCTGTACAGGGGCGGAAAAAGTATCGGACCATTGGACCCAGAAAATTTTTGAGTTCCCAGAAAATATGTCCCCAAGAAAGAAAAAAAAGATAATTGTAAAAATTTAATAGATAAAAGGAGAAATTCAGAAGAAAAATTCTAATCAATAGAAAGAATGCTAGTGTACTGTAGGTATGACCTCAGAAATGCAATTATGAGTGCATCCATCTTAATAGTGAAATGGTGTGTAAATGTATAAACTGTAGAATAATGTAACAAATATTGTATGGCAAAAGCATTTTTAGCCAATCTGGAACAGCTAATTTTCAAAATTTTCTGGGCATGGATCCCCCTTGGTACTGTCTTTTTGGCATCTTTATTCACCGTAGGATCAGACCCTTCATCAGTGGCATAGCTGGCAGTCCTGCTCAACAGGACCAAAACTTTCCACAAAATAAAGAAATGATTCCCTAACAAAAAAAGTTTATAGGCCTGGCCTATAGGCCAACCTATAGGTTTCTATAGGTTTCTATAGGAAACCTATAGGTTTTAATAGGCAATTGGAACGTTTTCTATAGGTGACCTATAGGGATGCCTATCAGTCTATAGAGCTCTATAGGTGCCTAAAGGCTTCTATAGGAAATTGGAACAACTTCCATAGGAACCTATAGGCCACCTATAGACTTTTTTCGTTAGGGTTGTCCAAGTTTCAAACTGTCTAATCTTTTAAAGTTTCCAATCTTGAACCTTTAAAAAGTCATTGTAATTTTTGTGGTCTTATTCAATATTTTTATTTTATGCTTTCACATTACATTTACACAATTTTACAGCCCTGTTACCTAGCAACTGCAACTCTGCAACAGCTCATTTCTAGGTATTGACATTGATTTACACGTGACATGTGTCACTCCTGCTATCTGCTGAAGTCGCTACAATATTAATTCAAGAAATCCTGGTTTTTGATTGGATAATTAGCCCAGTTGTAGTTGTAGTTGTATATCTTTTCTAGCATCTTCCTGCGATATATGAGCGTATTGTTTACTGCCAGATCACGAGTTGCTTGTCTGCTTTACGCATTGAAACAGGAGCGCTTATATCGAGTAAAAAATATATACCAATTTATACTTACAAAGTGTTTCGGTAAGCCACAGCAATTTTATTAATACCGTAGCCGCGTAAGCGCACAGATTTGCATGCAGAGTGCAAAACATAGTGATCTGTCCATAGTTGATACCGGTAATGCTATTATAGATAACAGAATGCTAGGTGTAGATTATAGGTATAGGTTAGAAACCAAATTTGTTAGAGCACTGCACCAGAATCGCAGGACCATAGCTGTGTTTTTCGCAACTGTTCCTGGTTAGGTTTAATAAATGTATATAAATTTCCATTTGATAATTCACATCTACAAGACCCTTTAACTATTATTCAATTGATTGAAATCACTGAGATGCCAACAAAATTTTGGTATTCAACAGTACACTACAACAATTGTTGACCTTATGCAATTCGAAGTGAAAGATCATATTAAAGAAGTCTATTGAATTGTATACATCATATTTTCCAGTTTTGCCACTTAATTATATTTAGCTAAATTTTCAGTTAAGTTGAAAAATATATGGTGAAATATAATATTAAAATGCACGGAAATACAATTTCAAAAAGTTACAAAATTTTTTCTAATTTTCCTCTAAGGGAAGCCTCACATATCGATTTTGTACCCGAGAAACATATGTTCGTTTTGGGGGGGAGGTTGCTGTTTTGATGTTTCTCTGTAAAACGTGGGAAAATTCGATACTTTTTCGAAAAACAAAACAACTTCATACATACCTGTTCTATACATTTATATTATTACGCCCTCCTTGCATTACAAACACTCAAATTGCATGGAAAAATCACATCGAAAAACATGCTGAAATCAGTGTCAATATTTTCTGCAACAAACGTTGTTTAGAGAGATCATGTGTATTAATAAAAAACATATGTCAGCAGAAAAATAACATACATGTATTCCTCGCCAGATCATTGCCAATAGCCGGCCGTAGAAAATAGTAGAAAACTACCTTTGTGTACTATAAGAACAAAATATCGATAACTATGTGTGACATTTCTAGGGGGTGGTGGGGTCTCCTTGACGTTTCTCATTGACAAAATCGATATGTGAGGCTTCCCTAACCACACAAATTTTGTTGTTTCCTTTGGATATATCTGTCAAATAGCTATTTCAGACATATAAAATTCAAAATTCAGTTTGACAACATTACAGTTACAGTCCGGGTGTCAAGATACTTGATTATTTGCAGAAAATTTTCTCTTGCGGTCCCAGAAAGCAAAATATTTTTTCCACCCCTGGCGCTGTACCAGAATCGCAGGGCCGCAGCTTCAGTTCAGAGGGCCTATATAGTTGCCTAAATAAATATAAAATTGTATATAATCTTCCGCTCGAAATTTCCATCTACAAAACCTTCGACTGTTAGTCATATCGACCAGCAGATGATATCGCAAGCTGCATTACGTACAGTGGCGGCGCCAAGGGGGGGGGGGGAAATGCGCCCCCAGAATTATTTTCTGCACCCCATTTTGCCCCCCCCCCTAAGTTATTAGTCACTGAGAGCGACTAAAGGCTATACAAGCCTGGATCCATGCGACCAAGTCGGATCTAAAACAGTGGATTTATCTGAATATTAAATAGTTAAACTCGGCCGTCTCAGCGACTTAATTAACGCTCAACAACAGAGCGCCCTGTCACAGTAAAAATGTACATTTAAAAGTAAAAACAACAGGCTACAAATGTGGGCGTGACTGTCAATTGTTGACATATTGTAATCTAATTTTAGTAACAAGTTGATACATTTAAAATTACTATATGTTTCAAACATAAACTATTAACACCCTGCACGCAGTGTCACCGTACGATTGCTCAGTTAGAACTTGAAGATGGACATTAGAAACCTCTGTCATGTCGAGTGAAGTCTGTGAAGATGAAGTTAGTGCACCTGTCGAAAAACGTCCTAGAACAGAACTGCTAAATACTGATGAATTAAGTGACTTAGAAGCGTCGCACACCACCTCTGGGTCTGAAGTTGACGAGGACGACTTTGAAGATATTCTTGGACAACCGGAAAATGTTAATATTTTACAGGCACAAAAGATCTTGACTTTGCTGCAAAAAACTGCAAGTAGCACCGCCGCCACCGGGCCAGGAGACATTTCGCAGTTACCAGACGACGGACCAACGCAGCCAGGATTAAAAAGGGAGTTTCACTTTCCCAAGTCACACGGTCAACGTTTTATTGCTGAGTGGTTTAAAAAGTTACCCTGGCTCGAGTATTCCGTTTGCGAAAGTAAAATCTACTGCTTTACCTGCCGTCACTTTTCTACAGTAGCTGAAACTACTGCGCGTCCATTTGTTACAGAGGATTTTTGTCAGTGGAAGAAATGTATCGATGAAAGTCAAAAGAACAACAGACTATCTAAACAAAAACTCCCAACTCCATCTAGACAGGTCGACCAGGTACAGTATTTTTACAATTAACAATGTATTATGGTTGAAGCTTTAAAAAATGAAGTACATCGTTTTAATATTTTTTTCCTTATAGGTACAAGGCTTACATGGAATCTAAACTTGCAGACCAGACAGTCACAAGTCTATTTAACGAAAGTCATGTTAAATTAGTCAAGCGAAAACGCAGTTACCTCAAAATCATCGCCGACACCTTACGACTGACGGCAGTTCAGAATATTACTCAGCGAAGACATTTTGAATCCACTACCGATGATGACAACAACAGAGGAAAATTTCTTGAAATTTTGTACTTTATGAAATATTCAGAAATCCTAGAGGACAGACTTGAAAATGGACCCCAGAATGCCAAATATACGTACCACACTACACAAGATGCTATTCTAGAGATATTCAGCGAACATAATATTGGATGAAATTACCAAAGAAATTAAGGAAGCTGAATATTTCGCTCGCTTAGCGCTTTTGTGCTTCGATATGTGTTCGAGTGCGAAGTGCCCGAAGAATTCCTTGGTTTTAGAGTTGCAGAGGAGCTCACCGCTGAAAGCCTTAGTAATGTTATTCAAGATGAAATGAAACAGATCGGTGTTAACATCCACAATCCTGTTGTTGGTCAGGGATATGACGGAGCCGCTGTTATGAGTGGAAAATGTGTCGGTGTTCAAGACAAAATTAGAACAATCGTTCCGTAGGCTCTCTATTTGCACTGTTTTGCTCATCGCCTAAACCTCGTGGTCGTTCAGGCAGTAAAAAGTGTTGTCCCAGTGGCTGATTTCTTTGCTGCGTTGCAAATGTGTTACAACTTTTTGAGCGGTACCAATGTCCATTCAAGATGGATTGCATTTCAGAAAGACATGTATCCTACGAACAGCCGGTTGAATTTAAACAATGTCAGATACTAGGTGCCCACCACGATACAAGTGCGCGCCGTCAGTGCTATAAAATCTCGATTTGAGTGCCTAATTAAATTTCTTCGTCATGTTGATAACACTGATGATAATCGTGAGCGAGCACTAGTCGCTCGCAATGTTTTAGATCAAATTGATCAGAAATTGATTTATTGCATGCTCCTTATGCATTATTTGTTACTTGAAGCCAAACGAGCATCTGACATGCTCCAATTAGTCCCGATCTTTCCTTGAAGCCGCAGATCTTATTGAATCTCTTATTGTAGAGCTGGAAACATATCGATCAGAGCGGAAATTATTTGATTACTTTGAAAATTCTTTAGATATAGCAGAAGCAAATAACCTAAGTTGTTGCACGAACCAATCAGTACGACAGAGCACGTCTCAAGTAACTTGGATAATTTTGTAATTTTAACCTCGATCGGCAAACGTGATACTATTTCAGGATCGTCTGATATGAAAAAAGTAGTATTATATCCTTATATTATATTGAAGGCGTTTCAGCGAACAAAATCTTAAAATTTTTCGATCACTTCAGGTCTAGATCCAACATCAAACAAATTTCTAGATTTTGATAGGATTTCACCGCTTGCAAGGCATTACAACTTAAACTTGGAATACATCCAAATGGAAACAAAACAAGCTAAAAGAATGCTTGAGAAAAAAGGAAAAGTCTTTGAAACAATCGATGAATTTGCGGAATTTTTAAACTCTTTAAACTTAGCATTTTCGGAACTCTGTAAAGCTGTCAAAATTGCTATGACCCTTCCGGTTAGTACTGCTAAAACCTTCCGGTTAGTACTACTAAAAATAATCAAAAACCATTTAAGAACCAGAATGTCCAACTTTAGGTTAAAATTCTTAACAGTAATCAGCATTCACAGAAAAAGAGCGCTTAGTATTGACTTGGAAAAGGTTGTGGATAGGTTTATTCAAAAGTTTCCGAGGTGCCGAATTACACTTGTTTAAATTGCATTAAAATTTCTTACATAGCCGTAAAAGTGTATTTAAAAATGTTAAGTTCACATTATGCTTGTTCACATTGTTGATTAATAACTGTAACAAAATTGATATTTGTTAAAATAATAAAAATTATAAATAAAAAGAACGATTATTCTGCGTCATTATACATATTTAATAACGGCATGGGCAAATAGCAGTACCTTTTTAAAATTCTATATTACCTCCCCCCCAAAAAATATGACTTTGCCCCTCAAATCCCCCCCCCAAATTCTGAGGCCTGGCGCCGCCACTGATTACGTAAAAAATCACAACGTCATGTGGCACAATTTAGAAATTAAACGCTGTTTTTTGATTGGTCAATTTAAAGTTGAGGTATAATATTATATTTTAACAAAGGGAGTGTTTTATTGATTTTTGCTGAATTAGCATTATAGTTTAAATTAATGCTATTTTTGCAAGGTAATAGGACAATTTTTTATATACTAAACAGAACAATACATGGACGCTTGGAAATACGAAATTTATCTCTCGTATTGACAAAGCTATTCTGGTCGACACTAGAAATGAATTTCATATTTCCACACATCCATATACACTCTAAAAACACCCTGCTTAAAAATTCCTGGTTAATCTAAAATTAACACTGTTTGGAGTAACTTAATGTTCCTGGTTACATTTCCTGGTTAATTTAACCACAGGGGTAATGACTTACCTAAAATGATCATGTTTTGTGATTGGCTTTCAAAAAGAAATCCGAAACAAAACTGATCATTGTTCGTGACTCGTTCTTTAGAAAGACGATTTCTATAGTTTTATTGTCTTTCATTGTTATAATCAACCAACCACAGTTCTCGTTAATTTGATCATAGTTCTGTCTAACCCGGATCCCTGGTTGATTCAACCTGGCTATATAGTTGGATAAAACAGATTGAATGGTACGTGGATTATTAACCAAGAATTCCTGGCCATGGTTATTAATCCACCAAACATGTTTGGTTAACTCAACCTTATATGTGCTATATATATATATATCTCTTTCTCGTCAACCCGGTTTCGCATTACTTACGACTCAATTTTTCAAAAATAAATATCTCGGCAAGTATTTACCCCCCTTTTAAATAAATGCCACCATTGAAATCCTCACAAAATAACCTTTCGAACGGGGGGTCAAGTGCCATCAAAACATTACACAAACCAAAACAATCATATATTTATACTCACCGCTTCGCCAAACATTCAAACGAGAAAAAACATAAAAACTTGAATATCTTCTAAACTTTTCGTCATTTTTTGGAAGGCTATATGTGTAAAATACTCTTTGTATTCAGGCGCTTTCGTGTAGAAAGTTTCGTATGAATACGGCGAGTAGAAATATTTATTTTGAATTTTTCAAGGTATCGGGTTTTACTCGCACGCGCTTGTATTACGTAATACTTGGCCAATAAGGAGCTCGCTTTAGCCGGGATGACGTCAAACTCACGCGTATTGGTGCACTTTGACCTGTAGAATCCATTTCTGGCATTTCCAGAGTCACGCGATACAAGCGTAGCATTGTTTTAACATTTTTAAGTCCTACTTCCGGTTGGAATTATCTCATAGTCAGACCAGAAATGGAAAATATGGTAATAAAAGATTCAAATTTGATGATACAATCTCGAAAATAACACTCTAAATAGTGTTTTTGATAGCGATTCGAACAAGACTATTACAAAGAAGATACGGCCGAAGCGGCCGAAGTTATGTTCGGCGAAAGGTACGGCCAGTCTACATTGTTGTTCAGACAATTGCGTAATTTGATAATATACAATCTCGCTTGACTTCCAAAGGCCATAAATTGCGATAATGTTGACATCGACTAAATCTATCGTTAGGAACTAAGAGATTTCGACTCACTGAATCGAATGGTGGTATTTTCATCTACATAGCATGCACCGAACCGAAGATATGAATCTGCAAAGTCGTATTACAGCAGTGTATTGCGTTTGTAGGGTCGTGACACGCATAGGAGTGTTTTATCACATATAAAACACGAAGCGTAGCGGAGTATTTTATATGTGATAAAACACGACTACAAGTGCTTTAAATGGCTTAAAAAACGACTCATCTTATACGAGTTCATTGGCGAAGTAATTTTTAAAATAAACTTTGTCTAAACCGAGAAAATCAAAGCTAAAGTTTATGTAAATTAACATGATTCTTTATCACATATAAAACCACGACACGCTTATGATTTTTCTTTGTGTTTTGCTCCTGAATTATCGAGTTTTTTAAAGAACCATTAAATGAACCAGGACTGTGATTATATGGATTAAACAAGAACATTAAGGTACCCTAAACACTGTTAATTTTCGACTAACAAGGAAATTTCCAATCAGAGTGTTTTTACGTGTATTATTCTCCATATTTTCGATTATGACGTCATATTTCCGCCAAAATTCAAGTTTTCTATTTGTGATCCTAGTTTGTGCATTTTGTTCAATTCTTAATACAACATTCAACTTTTCACAATTGAACATCCAACTTTTCACACAATTCAACATTCAACTTTTTACGCAATTCAACATTCAACTTTTCACAATTCAACATTCAACTTTTCACACAATTCAACATTCAACTTTTTTACGCAGTTCAACATTCAACTTTTCACAAAATTAAACATTCAACTTTTTACGCAATTCAACATTCAATTTTTTTCCCCATTCAACATTCAACTTTTTACGCAATTCAACATTCAACTTTTTACGCAATTCAACATTCAACTTTTTACGCAATTCAACATTCAACTTTTTTGAACATCCAACCGCAATCCAATTTAAACGACGTAACGCCGGCTCACATGTGGCTCAATCACGAGGTGTAAAATATGGCGGATTTAATCGAAGTGAAAGAGACACTAGGCAAGTTAGCAAATAGAATTTCCGACTTGCAACAGTCAAGTAAGGCATCTAACAATTCAGGTAAGTGCAATATTAATTGTATTGGTTTATTAATATTCCTCTAAAAGTTCTGTACTACACCTGAGTGACCTCTACTATTTTGTCAACATAAAATTTTAAATTTACATAAAATTTGCGGCGCTAGGGTAGAGTCAGTCGTTTGTATAATCTTATGGTTTTAGGAGAAATTGATTCGAACAAAATAAAAAGCAGCGAATAAGTGAATCGAAGGTGTTTTTGTGTACGTTTAATCCACAATTTGATCGAAATATATTATAAAGTGTATACAGATGAATATGATGCTTGTGATGTCAATACTCTGAGTGTATATCTACACCGGGCAAGCTTGAAAAATATGCCTGACCACAGTGGTAATCGAACCTATGATCTTTGGAATACTAGCCCAATGCTCTGCTAACTGAGCTACACGGTCTGGTCGGTTCGAGTATGTGATATTTCGGAACAGAATCTAGTTCCTTCGATATCAATGACAATGTAATCTAATAATCATGATTTTTCTGTGTTGGTGTAATGTACTGTGTTGGAGATTGACAATATATATATATATATATATATATATATATATATATATATATATATATATATAGACAGTATTAACAGTTTAGAAGCCGGAAATGCGGCATGCGCCAACACTTCCGGTGAAACGAACACATGTTGTAAAAACATTAGTGACGAGAGCGAGCGTGCGAATGGAGATTGTTATATAGGGCGAGATATTAAAATAGTAAAAAAGGAAAGAGATTGTTAAAGTGTTTATGAAACGGCTGAAAATGTTTTCTGAAATTGTGCTGATTTTATAGTTTAAAGTACGCTGAATATCATGCTGTATTTTATTTTCGCCCCGCGATTCTTTAAAGTCGATTTTTTAAGCTACAAAGTTCAGCAATTCGGCTATTTTTTGTCCCGGGGTCTGGACCCGAGTGAAAACAGCGCGTGACGTCACTGGTTGTACACACATGTTGACATTCTCAATATAAACAGTAAAGAACATTCGTATTATCGCGCTGTATATAATATTTTATCGTGATTTCTACTCTTTTACTATGTCGCACAGCGAAGATTCTCTTAGTTACTCTAGCTTAGAGTCTGATAACATAACGGAGAGCAATTTAGAAGGAAATATGAACGTAACGAATTGTTTTGAGCCGTATCAAGGGGAACTATTGCCAGTACAGACGACAGCGAATCTTCTGACGAGGAACAGGACGAAGATTACATTTTGCCATCTGTTTTGGAGAAACGTTTAGAAAAAATATTCCATTATCAAATTGGTGAGTTCTACAAACAATACTAAGTTACTTTATTATGATTTTCATGCAATATTTCCCTGATATTTGCCTTATTATTTATTTCTGTTGTAGGTGTTCGTGTGGGAATTTTGCCGATCAAAATCTGCCGAGTGTTCAGAGTACTGTTGCTGCAAAGAGATTGTGGAAGTAACTGGAAAATTTACTTGGATTGGCAAGAATGTTGAATACATCCTTAATCATCCTGACTTCAATGCTATGACAAAAGAGAAGTGAAGTTGGGCCTCTTCTAAAAAACAAACATGGAACTGATGGAAGCTCCCATGGAATAAAAAATGGCTCAGATAAAAGGTACATATACTTCGGTTGTGCATATTAATTCTGACTAGTAGCGAAAGTAAAACAACTTTACAGGTTCTATAAAGATAAATTTGTACTGTTATAGATTCCTCAGAGCAGTGTCATATCGTCGGCTGTTTGGCTTGATGGGCTGGGAGAACACCAGCCCTTGTCACCATGCATTTACCATCATATAATGACTGCATGTATTTTGTACTGGTGATGCTGGTATATATCTGGAAAAGAGCAAACGGATAACGATAACTGAAGGCACTATTATGTAAATATTTCATAACATAAAACCCAAAGAAAAGTATTATCACCAAATCTGTAATGTGTATTAATGTTTTACATATTTAAAAATCCAGGATTCATAATTAATTGTGTAAACGTTCTCTGGTTAAAAAGATTTATTTATACTTATTTATTTATTTAGTAATAAATAAATCTTTTTAACCAGAGGACGTTTACACAATTAGTTTTACATATTGCCCACTTTGAGATCCCTTGACTGAAATGTAAATCAGGCTTTAAATTTCCAGCAATTCCTAGCTTATGAGGGGTTGGGGGAGGGGATACACTGACTGATGCATAATTCTGTTCATACTTATTATATTTCAACAATATATACAACAACCCTCTTAACTATTTACAATATTTACAAACAATGAAAATATACAGTAAACAGATCAAGTCTGTGGAGCATCGTGTGGACAATGTGATCGCAGGTGACCTTCATTGGTGCCTTGCACTTGCTACATTGTCTGACTTTTCTCTTTGGCAGTGGGAGATTTCCTGTTGATTTCCGCTTTTCTGCCTCCAATAATGCTGTTTTTTCTGCAACTAAAAATACTTCATCAAATTATTATATAAGTTATATCAAAAGAATAATAATGTAATTTGTTGTCTGCTTTGTATATGATAATATTTGTGTTGGTGTTAACAATTGTTCGCCAAAGGTAAGGTGATTATCGGGGAATATTCGCAGAGACAAAGTTGAGGTGAATATTCCCCGACAATCACCGAGTCTGAGGCTTGTCAATGGAAAAGCTCAACAGCTTAATGGGTTAAAAAAATTTTTACCGAGACTTTTCTGCATCTGAAGCCGTGTTTACACTACGAGCCTAAGGCTGGCCTAGGTTTGTACTAGATTTTGGTAGTGTCAACTTCGACTGCCACTAGACCACTAGACCATGCACTTCGACCGCCACTAGACCAAGAAATCTGGGCCACCTTTCCTGATGGGCCCAGATTTCCTGGCCTAGGCCAGGCCGAAGTGCATTTACACCACAAAAATCTAGTCCAAAGGTAGGCCAGGCTTAGGCTCGTAGTGTAAACACAGCTTGAGAATTACCTAACTGGCGCCCAACATGGTGTGTTTACACCAGACACTGTACCTGGCTAAAGCCAATAGACCAATAAAAATAGATCATTACATACACATAACATGAAGTAGTGACTTTGAAGAAGTAAATAAACATAGAAATTGGCTTCAATTGACCTGTATTTAAACTATTAACCACTTGAAGGCAAACTCAATTCAACAACACATTCCAAATACTTTTATGTCTTTCATATTGACATCTACATATTAAACTATGAAAATGTAGCATGAGAGCCTTGCCTTACAAAGCTTTTAGTTCATGTTGTTCACTTGCCCTTGGTGGCGAACTATTAAATGTCCGAGTGTCAATTCCAAATTTATAGCAACAAATATTACTATTATACATAGTGTAAACGGGTCTTTATAGAGTTATCTGGTTTTTGCCGTGAAGAGTATTGAATATTTAGATTATGTCAAGGATGAATATGTAACAGCTTCAAAATGCCGCAAACGAACAATTTATGCATATATTTACCTGTCTTCTTTCACGAGCTGCAATCGCCTGAACTTGTGGCCCTGAAACAACGCAATCTAGACTAGGTATCGCGCCTTTCTTCAGCCATCTCTTAGTCGTGAATTTTTCCGGTTCTTGTAGATTAAAATCAAGCCGTTGTTCAAAATCTGCGACCTTGAAACGTGCTGAGCAAAACACCGAACTGCTAGATGGCTGCCATTGCGGACGATGTCTTTGGACAATACAAGCCCATTTTGCTCGGACAGAACTATCGCTAGGGAAGCGATGCATCGAAATTCCTTGTGTTTTCGAATTGTTTTTGCAACTGACTTTTCCAGGTCCGCCTGCAACACAATACTTTCCAAGAGATTTCCCTTTCGCTCGGCTGTTTTGAGTCTCGGCCATAACAAATTGACAAATTCACCTTTGGAATGAACGCGCGAGTACAACCAGTGACGTCACGCCATCAATTTGACCGCGCCGTGAGATGGGACAAACAAAGGTCATAGATGGCAAACTTTGTGGCTTAAAAAATCGACTTTAAAGAATCGCGGGGCGAAAATAAAATACAGCATGATATTCAGCGTACTTTAAACTATAATATCGGCACAATTTCAGAAAAAAATTTCAGCCGTTTCATAAACACTTTAACTAAACCTGTGTTTATAAAACTGTGAATTGTCGTAAACACAACAGGAGGCAATTTACGACACTCAGGTGAATATGATGCTTGTGATGTTACTCTGAGTCAGTGTATATCTACACCGGGCAAGCTTAAAAAATATGCCTGACCACGGTGGGAATCGAACCTACGACCTTTGGAATACTAGCCCAATGCTCTGCCAACTGAACAAATCGGTGTAGATATACACTCAGAGTAACATCACAAGCATCATATTCACCTGTATACACTTTATAATATATTTCGATCAAATTGTGGATAAAACGTGTACAAAAACACCTTCCATTCACTTATTCGCTGCTTTTTATTTTGTTCGAATCAATTTATCCTAAAACCATAAGATTATACAAACGACACTCTACCCTAGCGCCGCAAATTTTATGTAAATTTAAAATTTTATGTTGACAATTAGGTGCAGTACAGTACTTTTAGAGGAATATTAATAAACCAATACAATAAATATTACACTTACCTGAATTGTTAGATGCCTTACTTGACTGTTGCAAGTCGGAAATTCTATTTGCTAACTTGCCTAGTGTCTCTTTCACTTCGATTAAATCCGCCATATTGTACACCTCGTGATTGAGCCACATGTGAGCCGGCGTTACGTCGTTTAAATTGGATTGCGGTTGGATGTTCAAAAAAGTTGAATGTTGAATTGCGTAAAAAGTTGAATGTTGAATTGCGTAAAAAGTTGAATGTTGAATTACGTAAAGGTTGAATGTTGAATTGCGTAAAAAGTTGAATGTTGAATTGTGTGAAAAGTTGAATGTTGAATTGTGAAAAGTTGAATGTTGAATGGCGTAAAAAAGTTGAATGTTGAATTGTGTGAAAAGTTGAATGTTCAATTGTGTGAAAAGTTGAATGTTCAATTGTGAAAAGTTGAATGTTGTATTACGAATTGAACAAAATACACAAACTAGGATCACAAATAGAAAACTTGAATTTTGGCGGAAATATAACGTCATATTCGATAACTATATGTACATACCTTGAACTTCGTCTGGAATATAAAATCTCTTCAGCACATGTTGAACGTAAGAAGCTGAAACTGCTGCCCCAAATTGACACCAAGTCGTATTTTGACATTCATCAGTTGCCCACTTTGCAATAGATTTACAGGAAAGCCAGGGAACTGCAGAGTTCTGGCAAGTAGCATATACACCTTAAAACGTTGAAACTGAGGTTAATTATTCTTGACTTTTGAGAGAAACATCGGAACTCGAAGGCTTTCACGTTTTACACACGCGAGAGCTTTAGGCCGAAAGTGACATGTTTTTGCTAACTTTCTGACGAGTTTCATGGCTCCACGAGGCTCTGGTTAGAGATTCTAATCGGTCAACAGAAACTTGCAAATTCGATCCCTGTTTGGGCACTGGCATCCCAAGCTCACAGGCTGTTGGAATGGCATCCATCTTGAATATTTGAATATAAAATTATATTGATATGCTTTTGAATAGTGGAAATAACGATTGTTTGGCGAAATATTTATAATACCGCGAGCTGGAGCGGCGCTAGACCTCTTTGAATGGAGTGTGTGTAAGTGAGCTTTGCGAAGTTCTCAAGGAAAATTTATCCGAGTCACTACAACCACTAGTTAATATTTCTTTTCCCAAAATTGTTGGCGAGGGGAGGGGGGGGAATGAGGGGGTGTGGCGGCGGATCAACATAAATACATTTTCCGATAACATATTTGACATATTATTTTGTGTTTAACTACCACAATATTTTGCCGACTATCTGGCGCCCACACCCCACTTTAGCGCCGGCCTTGACCGCGAGTACGTATAGCACGAGAGTAATCTCAATTTTGAGAGTAATTTCTGGCATTAATTTTCAATTTATACTTATAAAAATTGTGAATAATCTGTATTTCTTCTTTGTCTTCTTTATTTGAACATAAATAAGAACTCAGACAATATAAATTTTCACCTTGTTTATTCAGATTTGTGTTTAAAATTTCTGCATTCACGTGACCGTGCGGAATGGACGCGGGCTCGTATTCGTCCAAATTAATCTTTAATCACTTAATGTTTTAACCAATCCGAAACGAGTAAATTGACTAAAATGATATTAGTTGTGAAATTAAATGCGCCTTTCATTAGCGCCTGTCTGTTTAATTATTTTTAGTGCACAACCATTTTCTCCTCTGATTTGGAAGATTTAGAAAATTCACCCAGGACGACGCTTCTAAGTGACAAATTTAAATTTAGCGAACAGTTTTTGTTTATTTTTCCTGTTTTACGAGAAAATTATTTCTATCGTTCGCATTAGTAGTATACTTACTTTTGGACGCCGTGTCAATTCCAATGGTTCCCGCTTGGTGTGAATCCCTCTTTTTGTCGTCGCCATCTTGTAAACCTGTCGTAAACTGACCAACATGGACTTTTGGAACTACAACATTTTCACATGGACCAACCCACGCAAATTTCCCACGGTCGAACAAACGCACCAATCCCAAATTGCAGTCATACGTTGTACGATCAAAATTCGACAAACCGTCGTCTTGTTTTTTAAGAAAGTAAACTTGTGATGACACTACGACATCACCAAGGAAATGTGCTTCTTTCTTTACACCATGGCAAACTCCTAGACTAACAATAGCTTTCGGTTTAAGTTCTTGGATTGTTTCATAAACCAGAACGTCATGACCTGACGAAGCGCCGGTCTGGCCGAAGTGTGGAACTTTCAAGAGTGTCACTTTATTTCTGCCTATTTCTCCAAAGCAACAGTTTTTGTCACTTTCGTCTTTCTTGCTTGGTACTTCAACGTTGTCTAATATTTTTTGAGCTTCACTAAACTCCGTGTCGTCGACTGTCAGCAAAAGAACATCGTTAAAATCTTTGAATTCAGAGTTCGACGTCGCAGCACACTGATCTAAACAAAAAAAACATGCGGATATATAAAGAAATTAACAATGAAAAATAAGACAGACAGACAGACAGACGGATGATGGATTTATTTTTATTGTCCAAGACCAAAGCATTTGTAAATTGAAACCACACAATGATATTAGGCGCTAGTCCGAGTGACAATCAATACCAGAAGAAAAAAACTTTACTTGACCCGTTTGCCGCACCTTGGAATCGATCCGGCTCATGAACTGATCATCGCATGTCTACACTGTGCAACAGCCTCTTCAGGGCGCCTGTGGCCGTCACAGAAGTAAAGCTACATGTCGAGCGGCTTGCCCGCCGGGGAACGAGCGTATTGACGTATTTGCCGTGTTCCCAATAGGATTTGGAAAGATAGAACGAGCACAATTATCCAGTTGTTTGTGATGCCCAAAAGTCGCTTAATCAGCGATGTCAACAAGAGGGCCTTGGCGTTTGTAATTTCATCATTAAAAAGCATTGGTGGGATTGAAATTGTCCATCGACAATGGTCTGAAATCGGTGTATGATGCAGATTGCAACATACCGTAGTATATGGTTCTGCACGATATTTGGACATCATAAGCGATGCATTTTCAACATTGGAAATAGGCCATTGGAAATAGGCCGAGCGGAATTTCTCTTTGTCTTTTCTAATTAGTTCCACCCGAGAAATCACAAGACAAAGAAAAATTCCGCTCCGCGCGGAATATTCCTCCTTGTTGGAAACGGCCTTTATATACCTTCCATTTTAAATATTTTTGTTTGCATGTACTCTGTTTATATCCTTATGAATCGATATGTTGAACGCGAAAAAGTACAAGAATCTTGTGCACCCCTAGCTTCCTTTGTTTACCTTTTAATTGCAGTCAAAAATACCCAGGAGAGTTTACATTATTGTAGTATGTATTGTCAGAAACCGTTTATCAGCATCTTGATTTTGTTTCTTTTTGCGTTTTGGCAGTGAAAGATACTTACCTCTCAACAAAAAGTTTCCTTTGTCGAGTTCTTGGTTGTCACTTGCCCCCTTGGGTGGTTTGCCCATCAGAATAACTAATCTTTGTATTGCTGGAAAAGACCTATTTAACGATCATCAACGACGAGAGACCGACAACATGCATATACCTTCTCGGGGGATTTGTCTAAATCAATCCCGAGGAATGAGGAATACCTCTCTGGAGCGGGGCATATCAACTTACGAAATGTAACTTTCCAATTGGGAAATATATAATGAAGGTATAATATCACATAAACAACATACCTGTGGTATCTTTTCTCTGTGTTAATACTCCTTCAATGCAATTGAGTTTTTGTTTCACTTCACTCATTTCATATTTAACCTCACTTTCAAGAAACAGATAGAGGTCGTTTCTCAGACGATTGATTTCTTCATTAAGTTTTTCTACTTCTTTTATGGGAAAATCTGATTCTTTCATGTTGCCAATCCTCTCCAGAGATGTCGTGGTAAAATTCAAAGCAATGAACGCGTCTTTGGCATGCTTGACATGGTCATCGAACGTGACTTTATTCATTCGAGGGCTGGATGTATGACAAAGAGTGTTTCGTAAAAGACGAAGCTGATCAATGGCAAGTGCAATCGTCTCATTTGCATCTCCGCTCGAGTTTCTCACGGCAGAGTGAAATGGAGCAGGGGCTGCCTTTCGTCCTTTTAAATACATTTCTCCAAGCGTCTTTTTCTTTCCTGTGCTGTCTGGTAGCGAAAATGTTCTGGAATACAGAGTGGCTTGAAATAGTGCAGTGCAGTCCCACTCTTTAAATGAGTTGTTCGTGGGGATTTTTGTGCTTGGAGCCTCATTGTTGTGGAGTATATTGCGTACAAGAGGCGAGTCATCCCAAACTCTGTAACTTGGTGCAACTCTGGTGTCCCACATGTCTACAAAGATGCTACGCAAAGCATCTGGGAATTCCTTCATGACAATTGACGCAAACTTGAAGTAGTTCAGCTCTTCGTCAGAATACGGATGCATATACATGTTGGCTGACTTCCTGAGTAACAGTGACACCGAAAAAAGAACATGAAAAAACTAATACAAGCAAAAACATCGATAAGGCACATGTTCACAGCGAACAGGACTGGCTTGTAAATTTAGTGAACGAAACTGCACATACGTTAGGAAAATTATTGGGGACGGGGAGCAAAAGCCCCTAGCCCGCATCCCATAACGCGGTCCCTGGTAGAATGCAGAATGGCAATGTAATATGAAGGGAAAATATATTAACAGTTTCCATGGGTCCAGTTGGCGCAAGAAGGCGGATGGTAGTATCGGTTTTTTCTTTCTAAAGGAGCTCAGTTAAAGCTACTTTCTCCCATAGATCTGTAGCTTGTCTCTGTGGGAACGTTTATAATTGCTAATACTTCAAGCAAGACCGGGTGACGTACTGGCCACTGAGTTATATAAATGTAAACTGGAGAGTCTTGCCCTCCTGTGCTGTCGGGGTGTGTTGCAATCTGTGTAGTGATTCATTGTTTTCGTTTGCATTAGAAATTAAGATCTGTTAGCCTCGTTTGAACGTGTTGGCAGACTTTGTTGAATTTATAAAATTTTCATCCAATACTGTACAACACTTGACGATTACGCGTAATCATTTGTAGCATTTGACGATTGTATACAGCTATTTTAATTAAGATTGTCCACTATCAAAGCGGAAAAGTGGATTACGAGCGCGAAATGCTGCTGGGAATCGCTAAAAAATTAATAAATCTATTAGCTATTCCCAGCAGTCTTTCGCGCTCGTATTCCACTTTTCCGCTTTGCGCAGGGACAACCTTATTTGAAATAGCTGTATGCGGTCGCGTGATTATTGAACACGCTTTCCCAAAATCTCAAACGGTCGATGTCAGTGTAGATAGCGACGATAACAGCCAGCTCTGGTGTGAGAGAGATACTACTATACCTGAAAAATCGTGAAAACTATCCTTCGTGAACGAAAAGCATTCGCTCGAAACGTCGAAGTTCTGCTTATATTTTCAAGGAATTTGTATCCCTCTCACACCGCAGCTGTCCCCCATACGAAAACAATCACTTAAATAAGACTACGGTATTTTTTCAAACTTACAACAAATCCAAAGGTGTCAAACTTGTATTCCCAAAACGTTTGTTCCTCGCTCAAAGATACAACATCATCCTAATTATTATTTTCGAGTTCTGTTCACTATAGTGCGATAACTGAAGTTATACTGACAGCAACCTAAAATTTCAATGACATCATGATATATTCAAATTTTATGTATATTTTGACTGGTATCATAGCCAAATTCCAAACAATTTATTTTCTGTTGTTAATAATTATTACAGTTTGAACCTGTTTTGAATTTCTCCTTTCGCTCCAGTCGCAGAAAGAGCCCAAGCGATAGCGTATTCACATGAATGCAAGACCCAAAATTTGAGTTTTCCTATGATTACTTTCACACTATATAGCAACCTCCCACGCATCGAGTTACTAAGTGTAAACACTCGACCTACATTCACAAAACTGTTTGTGGAACATTTCTCAACAGCGACTGAATCGAAACAGAACTACCGTTCTGAGAAGAACATAATATATTTTCTTCTGTTACGATACAGTGCCTGTCAAGAAATCTTCCACAACGATTTCAAAACATATTCATGATGTATTTTTATCAACTGCTAATTGGAGGGCCGTTGAAGCTTATATATTTTCAGGTAGTCGTATCTCTCAATTAATTCGCAGGTAGTTGTTGTCGTCGCTACCTACTGGCACCGACCGTTCGAGAGTTTTATTTTACACTTATAGAGTACAGACTATTTATCCATGGCCGGTTTCCGCGAAAATGCGACGTCACATACCTTATTATAGGAAATTAACGATGCACTTTATTAACGCGACATAAATTAACGTGTCATCTAATTAACACGAATTGCTTTCAGGTACTTCTAAAATTGATTAAATTAACGCGAATACGACAGTTTATGGTTAACAAGTTAATTTAACTAACACGAGTCGAAGAATATAAACACACAGCAAAAAATTAATATTAAAACAGTATGCGAGTAGATATGTCAAAACTGTAACGTTAAAAGTTAAAGTCATTTAAGCCAATGTATAAAATATATAGTTCAGCTTAAGGTTCTGCCGACAGTGACAGTGAAGAAGTGGACTGATGTTTTTGTTTTGAGGTTTAATATGATGTATTTTGAGTCGGTTAAAAGTGTTCGTGTTATATAAAACAAATCAAGGTCTTTTTAATTAACGATAACTAAAATTTGCATGCTTGAAATTAACGATAACATAAATTCACATTAATTAAATTAACGCGAATTTTTAAAATCCGCGTTAATAAAGTGCATCGTTAATTTCCTATAATAAGGTATGTCGATCCTTGTGGTCGTGTTTTAATTCGTTCACCTAAATATGCGCTTATATTAATTAAGGCTTGAGCTTTTGTAATTCAGATTAGTTCAAAATGAGAATATAATTTCATTTTTTAAATATGTTGGACGACGTGGGACTTGTTTGAACGGGGCTTTAGGCGAAGTCAAACCCGATCTAACATCTTCCAGCATCAGCGAGCGAACATTACCCAACATACTACCATTCAAGGGAGGGCCATAATGTTGCATTCAGCAATGTTAGCTGATGTTGGACAGGCATTATGGGCCTGGTTTAACATGACTAAGATATTGAACAGATACAGAACTCGGAAGATGTTAGATCAGGCTTGACTTTGTTAAATTTATAAAAAAATTCAAAGATTGTACAACATTTGACGATTACGGGTAATCATTGTCATTTGAATATTGTGTACGCGGTATCGTGATTATTGAACACGCTTTCTTTCCTCCCATCTCAAGCGGCAGTCGCCAGTGTATTTAGTGACAATAACAGCCAGCTCCCGTGTGAGAGAAATACAACTATACCTCAGACTATTCTTCGTGAACGAAAAGCCTACGCTCGAAACGTCGACATTCCGTTTACATTTTTCAGGTAGTTGTATCTCGCTCACACCGCAGCTGTCTCCCATACGAAAACAATCACTTAAATGAGAATACGGTATTTTTTCAAACTTACAACAAAGCCAAAGGTGTGATCCCCAGAAAGTTTATTCTTTGCTCAAAGATACAACATCATCCTAAATATTATTTTCGAATTCTGCTCACTAGCTCTATGATCGGAATTTGCAATAACTGAAGTTATACTGACGACATCCTAAAATTTCAATGACACTCATGACATATTCAAATTTTATGTATATTTTGACTTTTGACTGCTATCCAAACAATCTATTTTCTGTTAATAATTATTACAGTTTCAACCTGTTTTGAATTTCTCCTTTCGCTGCAGTTGCAGAAAAGAGAAAAGACACAAAAGTAATGTCACATGAATGCGAGACCCAAATGTGTGATTATCTTCACACTCGCAACCTCTTACGCATCCTGTTACTAAGCCTAAATAATCCTAAACACGTGTGCTGAAGAGTTTTCGGACAAACAAACAGTTATGGTAATTTATAAGCAGTGTTCTTAAAGTCAAACAGCGACATTCCTTTAAATTTTTGCGTCTTCCAAGCGATATCCATGTTGATACAGTATAATTCCTCACCTGTTACTAAAATGTATCCAAATTCCGTTTGCGAGCCAACATCAATTTCTAGTGTATATTATACTAGCTTATTGTTTGATTGTTCGAAAAGGTGTGCTTGAGCACACGTGCTTTCCCCCTGCAGGTCAACCTCAAAAAGGGTGGATTGATCTACACTCACAAAACCGTTTGTAGACTATTTCTCAACAGCCACTAAATCGAAACATCTGGACAAGTACATAATACCTTTTCTTTCTGTTTAGATACAGTGCCTGTCAAGAAGGTTTCCACAAAGTTTTGTATGCAACGTCGCTTCCAACATCAGCGACCCCCACAGTTTCAGACTGATTGCTCACACCTATAGATTGCAGGCTAACTTTTCTGCGGAGCCTAGCTTGCAGGTTATTTTTTGCTGGCACAATGCACTCAATGCGGCGTCATATACAAACCATGGGCATCATCTCGACTGCGCAATGTGCGTGGGGATTAATCGCAGTTGAATTGCTATAACATGTTGTTGAGACTGGAACAATGAAAGATATGCATGTCGAATTAAATGCTGATCAATCATCATTTGTGTTTCACTGATAGCAAGAAGATAAAACATTCGCGTCCGTGTTGTATCGGATATACAAACTCTCGCCTTCTGCTCATGTTTGTATATCCAATACAACACGGCCGCTCATGTTGTATAAATACTACCTACTACTTTCGAAATATTTAAGTTCAAAATATTTATGCGTAATATATATTTATTATTAACTTTAATTAGGCTTATATTTATTATTTATGCGTCATATTAACTTCAAAGTTCGTTTTCGGAATAAAACCATTTCAAATTATGCAATTCCGTCGTGAAAGTGGCTTCGCTCTCGTTTTTTGGATACTATATATAGAAAAAATAAAATAGAGTAATTTCTGAAACATAAACCTACACTGGTATTAGACGACAAATACTGTACGCCGTGTGTTTTATATTGTGAGCCATGCCGAATTTGTATACCATTTCGACAGTAACATGTCTTCTTCAGCCGTATATATGTTAATCATCACGATATGGCATTTATAAATTTTATATATGTTAATCACCGTAGGTAAGTATATTTTAGTGAACAGGAAAAGTTGAGACTGAGTCGGATTCGAAGCGGCGACCTCTGGGTTACAAGGCATGGCTTTGGTGAGTGGCCATGTGGGTGTGCAGGAATAGTTGTGACTGGTTGGGTTCGAATATACCATCGGGCTGATAGCTCAGTTGGTAGAGCGATGGGCTTGTAACCCAGAGGTCGCCGGTTCGAATCCGACTCAGTTTCAACTTTTCCTGTTCACTAAAATATACTTACCTACGGTGATTAACATATATAAAATTTATTAATGCCATATCGTGATGATTAACATATATACGGCTGAAGAAGACATGTTACTGTCGAAATGGTATACAAATTCGGCATGGCTTTGGTGAGTGGCCATGTGGGTGTGCAGGAATGGTTATGACTGGTTGGGTTCGAATTTACCATCGGGCTGATAGCTCAGTTGGTAGGGCGATGAACTTGTAACCCAGAGGTCGCCGGTTCGAATCCGACTCAGTCTCAACTTTTCCTGTTCACTAAAAAATACTTACCTACGGTGATTAACATATATAAAAATTATAAATGCCATATCGTGATGATTAACATATATACGGCTGAAGAAGACATGTTACTGTCGAAATGGTATACCAATTCGGCATGGCTTTGGTGAGTGGCCATGTGGGTGTGCAGGAATGGTTGTGACTGGTTGGGTTCGAATATACCATCGGGCTGATAGCTCAGTTGGTAGAGCGATGGGCTTGTAACCCAGAGGTCGCCGGTTCGAATCCGACTCAGTCTCAGCTTTTCCTGTTCACTAAAAAATACTTACCTACGGTGATTAACATATATAAAAATTATAAATGCCATATCGTGATGATTAACATATATACGGCTGAAGAAGACATGTTACTGTCGAAATGGTATACCAATTCGGCATGGCTTTGGTGAGTGGCCATGTGGGTGTGCAGGAATGGTTGTGACTGGTTGGGTTCGAATATACCATCGGGCTGATAGCTCAGTTGGTAGAGCGATGGGCTTGTAACCCAGAGGTCGCCGGTTCGAATCCGACTCAGTCTCAACTTTTCCTGTTCACTAAAAAATACTTACCTACGGTGATTAATATATATATATATATATATATATATATATATATATATATATATATATATATATATATATATATATGTTAGTTGTGTAATTGTACACTCTGTAATATGTTAAGATGAAAATGTTCTAGAGTGTGTATTATATAATTTCCATACCCAGCGCAAGCAGAAAGATGTTGTCTGCCGCGGCTGGGTCTCGAACCCGCGACCTTCGAATTACTAGATCGACGCTCTACCTACTGAGCTACACGGTCAGACGGGTTTGTACGGTGGCCCATACGGGCCAACCCTTCTCCGTAGAAACTTGCACCTTCTCCGTGCAAATGTGTTGTTGTTCCATGGAAATCGAACTTCTCCGTGGAATATTGCAGTTGTTCTGTCACGGAAAGCCTTTTCTTCGTACAAATATGCAGTTTCTCCGTGGAAACACGCATCTTCTCCGTGGAAACACGCAGCTTTTCTGTGGAAACACCGCAGCTTCTCCGCGGAAACGCGTAGCATTTATGTGAAACACGATGCGGTGGCCCGAACGGGGCACCTCTTCTCCGCAGAAACATGCAGCTTCTCCGTAGAAACACGTGCCTTCTCCGTGGATGAGCACTTTCCTTGTGAATTAAAAAAGGCACGCCCCCCTGAATATTTATTGGTTTTATACGACGGGGGGCAGGAAGAGAAAGTAAAGTCACAAGTCACAACGCAACATCGTGGCCTGGAAGGCACATTATAAAGTTTCGTATAAACTGATTTACATATTGATATTGTCTTTTAAATTTTCAAATAACTGTGAGAATTGCCAGGCAACGGTGGAGTTTTAATGAAGTGAAGTCGTGCATACATTGTGGAGAGCACTTTGCAGATGCGAGCAAGTTTTGTCCAAACTGTGGAAAGAAGCTCCTCAACAGTAAGTGAAAAATATATTAAATTAAAATTTATTAATCTATGCGCATATGTATTATTTGTGTGTATATGTGAAATATATTTGCATAAATACAAATTCCCATTGTGGTTATTAAACAAGTGAATTTGTACAATCTAATCTATACCGAATCAATAGCTCGTTTAACGGCAAATTACATTTATTATCCGCATAGGTTGGATTGAGGACACTGGAAAATCCAGGGGAGGGATGTAAAAAAGACCTTGGAAAGTCCAGGGTGTGCGTGAAAAAGACCAGAGAAATCTTGGAGGTAGGGTGATTAGAGACCAAAATCCAGGGCATGATGGTCTGCACAGGGGTGTGCCGAGAGGTGCTGATGGGAGGGGGGATGGTCTGCACAGGGGCGTGCTGAGAGGTGTCTGATGGGAGGGGTGGGGGGGGGATACATTCAAAAAATTTAGCCCCCCTTTCCTTTTGGACCCCCACCCCTCAAAAACGTCTGCAGAAAAGCAAAACATTTTCCAGAAAGGCAAGGGAGGGGAGTTGAAGGTTTTTTGAAAACAAACTGTCCACCACAATTTTCCAGAAAATTCCTTAATATTTAACACGTTCCACAAATCCAGCATTCTGGAGCCCCCTCTGGGCAAGTTGGTCCCACTTTTTTACTTTCCTTTGGGTGGGGTTACACCCATCCCCCCCCCCCCC